CAAGTAGCTGGGACCACAGATGCACACCATGCCCAGTTAATTTTGCTCAATTTTTGTAGAGACGCGGTCTCACTGTGTTGCCCAGGCTGGTGTCAAACTCCTGGGCTCAAGGGTTCTTCCTGCATTGGCCTCCTAAATGCTAGGATTACAGGCATGAGCCACTGCACATGGCCTCATTTTATTTTTTTAGTGATGTGAAAAAATGACATATAACTCTTCTGTTAATTTATTTGACTATCTACGAGGCTGAAACTTTTTAATGTGTTAATTGAAACTCTGGTTTTAAACAGTCTCTCTTGTCCTCTGGCAAAGCATCCAGGGATGGAGATGCATAGATACTTGCTGGTTTCCTGGCTTTCTCATAGTAGTCATTTATTGAAGATAGTGTGCTGGAGCTCCATCCTAAGCACTTTACTTAGACCATCATCCTACAACCTTGTGAGGTAGATACTGTCCCTAATTTACAGATGAGGACACAGACGCTCATATATTGAAGGTCATATATTTATAAAATGGCAGGACTGAGATTTGAATTCAGAAATGTGAATTCATCCTGAATTTAAAGACTTGCTTCTTTGATTGGTGAGAACATTTGTGCAGGTTTTACTTCCAAACATTCACTCTTTTTTTAAATTTAATTTAAAAAAATTTTATTTATTTATTTTTGAGACAAGGTCTCTCTCTGTTACACAGACTGGAGTGCAGTGGCACGATCACCATTCATTGCAGCCTCAACATCCCACGCTCAAGTGATCCTCCCACCTCAGTCTCCCAAGTAGCTAGGACTAGACTACAGGCACGCAACACCATGCCCCACTGAGTTTTTGGGGCTTTTTGAGAGAAGAGTTCTCACTATGTTGCCCAGACTATGAGCATTCAGAAGTAAAACCCAGCATACAGATCTCCAACCCCATACCCGGATTTCTTTACCACTCTTCCCAGGACAGACAGGAGACCAAGGGAGAGCAGGCATCATTTCTCTCTGTACAGTTTTTAATTTTTTATTTTTTGATGTTTTTTGTTCAGATGAATGACACACTCAAGTTACAAAAATGGGGCCTTAAAAGAAGCACATTGTACAATGAACAAGCAGATTGGAGTTAAGAACACTGAAACGCTAACCCGCTACCACGAGAAGAGACAGGGAGTGGGTACAGGAAGGGAAGGAAGGGGCTACCAACACAGGGGTCAGACAGAACTGAAAGAGAGGCAAACTTGGTGAGGATAGAGGAAAGGCAGGTCTCCTCCGGGGCTGATTTCTGGATGCCGCTTTTTGGGCACCCTTGCCTTGTACTTGCCACCCCCTCCAACTCCACTCACCCCCATTCTGTCTGACCTGGTTATTCTGGGAGGTGAGAGACACCCACACCAAAATGGGCTGAGCCAATCAGGTCTTTACAAGGTAGGGTGGTCACCTAGTTCAGCCCTGGATTTGGAAGGTGAGGGTGGCAGCAGTGGGACAAGAGGCCAGAAAGGAGCTGATCAAAGTTCAGGCCCCTGCTCTTCCCAAAGGCTTCTTGCCCTTTCCCCACCCCACCATGATCCAAAGGCCCTCTACGAGTTGTTGAGAGAGACCCCCAGTCACCCTGCAATTATATAAATAAATAAATACTGAGCCCCTGGGTTTGGGGGACAGGTTGGGGGAGGGGCATCAAGGATAGAAGACGGGAAAAAGGAACAGGAGGGAGGCAGAGGGAAGAGGTCACAGACAAAGTAAATAGTCGTCTCCGTCCCAGCAATACTTCTCTGGATTTTTCTCTCCTTTTCTTGTTTGTTTAACAAGGAGCTAACAATTCAAGGACAAATACTTAAAAATATACATTATTCTTTCTTTGTTTCCGCCTTTGTCATCGTCGTCTTGCTTTGGAGACTGCTGAGGTCAAAGTTTAAACCGCATGAAGGACCTGCGGCTTGGAGTTTTTGTGTGTGTTTTCTTTTTTTAATTTTTATTTTTAAATTTTTTTCACTTTTTTTTTCCAACGTATAAAAAGGTAGCGGAGTTGTCTGTGGGTTTTTTTTTTTTTTTTTTTTTTTAATGGTTAAATCTTTGGTTTGTTTCTTTTTTCTCTTGGAGGCCTTTATCTCTCGCACTTGCCTTTCCCACTCAGAGACCAGTGGGGGCCCGCGTGTCTCAATCTTGCTGTCTGTCTCACTCTCTCTCTCACTCAGGTCCCCCTACCCTGGGCTAGAGGAAGAGAGAAGCACCCTGGGATTCGGGTGGGTTAGAAAAACTAGTCGGGTCAAGAGTTCACCCTGACTTGGCTAGTTCCTTGCCAAATCTCCCCAGGGCTTGGAGAGCCTGTCAAGGCCTTCTCCAGGGAGGAGATGGGTGGAAAACTCATATCCTTCCCCTCCTCCTGATCACAGCCCCAACTCCTACTGGGGCTTGGGTTCCCCATCCCTACCCGCCCCCCCACCCCGCACTCCCCCCACCCCCCAGAAGAGAACAGAGAGGTGGTTTAGTTACTGGCATCAATTTTTTTTTGGCACAATGAAAAGGCCCACCATTAAGGTAGACCCAGTCTCTGTCCCTCCCTTAAGTAGGAGGTCAGGGTTGGGGAGAAGAGAAATTCAGAGGGCTCCCCACTGCTCCAATCCACTCATCTCTCCTCTCTTTCTAGCCCAGGCCCTCAGCCCCCAACCTTGGACATCTAACCTAGCCCAGAGCCTAGCCTGGGGTTTCCCTCCCCGTCCCCCACATAAAGCTCCCCAGCCCTCGAACTCTCGCTCACACACAGACACACGGACACAGGCTCTGTACAGACCGCAACATAAAAACGATGAGATAGTTTTGTTTCCCGGAGTCGAGGCAGGGGACCCGAGTGGAAGGGACAGATGGGGGTGGGGGGCATGAATTCCCCCATCACCTTCCCAATCCTGGCTCCCTCCAGCCCCCCAGCCCCTTGCCCTGGCTGGCCCCCAGCCAACGATATTTGGTTTCCATTTTTTAACATTAAAGTTCTATGAGGTATTTGGTGCCTTATCTCGAGTCCTGGGGGAGGGGGGCCCAGGGGGAGACCTGGGGCTCACCTGCCCCTCCCTCCCTCCTACCCCCTTCCCAATATTTGGTTTCACAGCTGTAGTTAAAGCTTGGGATTTGGTTATTTTTCCCCCTCCCAGGAATTTTCTTTTTTCTTGTTTTTCTTTTCCCAGTTGTGAGGATTGGATGGGGAGGGTCCCCAGCACCCCGGCTGCACAGGGATCCCTCCACCAATGTCAGGGCTTCTGCCCCATCCCTGCCCCCTGCTCGTCCTCTTCTCTTTGCGCCACTCCCCAACACTGGGGTGTGGCGAGGTCCCAGGTGGTGGGACTTGATGGGGAGGAAGCAGGATCAAGTGGGTGGTGGTTGAGTCCTGGATTTTCTTTCTTTTTTTTCCTTTTTGGTCTAGAATCATAGTTTTTGTTTGAGTCATCTCCACCATGCCTTCCATGCTGCCTGTCTTCTCGGAGGGGATTTTGGTTGTAATTCCTTTCATTTTGCTCTGCTCACATGTCCTTCCTATTTGGTCAGGAGCCCTTGGCCCCCTCTCCACCCTTGGGCTGGGGCCCAAGCCCTCTTGCCAGTCCCTTCTCTCTTCAGGAAATAAACATGGACAAACTCAGAGGTAGGGTAAGGGCAGGGAGTCATTCGGCGGAGATGCTTACATTCCGGCGAGGATGGGTCGCTGAGGTGCCAGACCCCATCGTGCCAGGGGTGGGGGGGTGACTACTCCACCACTGCCCGGACAAGGCACCCGGAGGCCCCTGCAATGGCCAAGTCTCTGCTGCCTCCATGGCCCAGCCCAACAGTTTCATTTCCCAGGTGGGAGAAGGGAGACAAGGAAAAAAGAGAACGCTGAGGCCTGGGGCTCCATCTGCCTCTCCTCAAGAGTGTCCAGGAGAAAGTGGAAGCTGCCCAGGCCGTGGCCCTGCAGTCTCAGGGCTCTCCCTTCCCTCTGTTCCTGCCCAGTGAGGGGCGGGGGCCACACTGCGCTGCCAGGCCCCACCCTGATTTCAATGGCTCGCGTCCTTCACTGCAACACTTTGGTTTGAGGAGAGACACAGAAAGAACAACAATGAGAGAGGAGAGAGGAGAGCAAAGGGAGAGAGAGGAGAGAGGAAGGAGGGAAGGAGAGAGGACAGACAGAAGAGAACCGAAAAAGAAATCAAAGAAGGAATCAAACCACCCGAAAGTTGTTAGTTTTCCTTCGTCCATTCTTTTTGCTTACTCCTTTTTTTCCTTTTTTTTTTAAAGCTTTTTCAGTTGATTGCGGGGGGTAGTTTAGGGCTTTTCACCCCTGTCCCTGACACCCTCTCAGCCCCACCCACCCGCTTCCATCTGCCCTGGCCGAGGGACAGGCTTGCCCCAGCCGCCCCCTCCGGCTTTCCCAAAGACGACGTCCATGAGGTATTTGTGAAGAGAAAGAAGCATCCGTCCTTCTGTCCGCGTTGGGGACCAAGGGCCTGGACCACTGGTGCAGGGGCTTGGCTCCACCTCACGGCTCTATCTTATTCTTGAAGAGTCCTCATCTTCTTTCCCTTTTATATATATATAAATTCTTTTTTTCTAGTTTAAATTTATTGTTTGTTTGGTTTTGTTTTTGTTTTTTGGTTCAAAACTTTGTTGGCCTCCACAATAGCAGGAGGGCAGGGTGGCTCCCAGTGGCGTCTCTCCTCTGTCCGTCATCAGTGGAGATGTGTCCGGGGCTGGGCAAACACAGGGTCCAGCCAAGACTCGTGGAGGTCTCATGGGAGCAGTGGCCACCACCGTGCCTTTTCAGATAGGGACCACAGGCTGTGGCACTGTCCCCACACATGGACCCTGATGGGGATGCCATCTCAAGGAACCCCACCACTGGGGTGTGTGCATGTGTGCATGTGTGGGGAGGAAGAGGCATTCGCCAGTACCAGAGGGGCACGGGATGGGAAAAACGAGGTGAGTTCTCTTTTTGGTTTCTGGTTAATGTCAAAGAACGTGAAGGATCCCACGGATAGGCACTGGAATATGAATTTTCTTTTTTAGGGAAACTGACAGACAGGATGGAAAAAGACAACTGAATGCCCTCAACTAAATGCCTTCATCCCCTCTTGACTGAAACTTCCACCTTCCCATACGCTGGGGAGGGGGTTGATTCCAGAGCAGAGGAGGGTGACAGGGTTGAAGAGGGACTTGTGAGAGCTAGAACTTGGCAAAATGGCCTAGCTCACCCTTCAAAGGGGAAAAGAGGGAGGAAGAGGGGATGAAAAGTCATCCTCAGGCCTTCCCTTGAACTCTCCCCTGGCTGGGGGGAGGGAGGAGGTTAAAGCAAGACCCCCTGCCCAGGTGAGGAGAGCTGGGGGCCAGGGGAGAAGGGGACACATGGTAGGGACACATTCTGTTGAGCACAACGCTAAAAATTCTGTACATCCTTTGGATGAAGCTACTGAATATTTGGTGTAAGGTTGTTCAGGCCCTTTCTCTTTCACCTTCCGGAAAAGAACATTTGGTGGGTGGTGCTGAGCCCCAGCCCATCTGCCCAGACTGTGCCCTGTCTTCACTGGCCCAGGGCTGGGGGCCAGGACTAGGAAGTTGGCATCTTCTCTTTTTCCTTCTGTAGCCCCCACTCGGGGAGGCAGGTTTGGGGGTTGGCCCCACAGCCAGGGCTCGGTGGCAATGAGGTCTGACCTGCTGGAGGCTTCTCCGCCCCTGGCTGGGGTTCTTATTTGGTGTCGTAGCAGTGAGGGTGTGAGCACGCTGAGGTCTGGCTCGCGACTGGTTTTTTGGTTTGTTTGATTTTGTGGGTTTTTTTTTTTTTTTTGGTTTGGTTTGGTTTTTTTTTTTGTTTGTTTTTCACCTCTGGTTCCTTTGGGGCAGCTGGTTTCTGTTGTGATTATTTTTGGTTTTCTCTTTTGTTGGTTAGTTTCTTTCCTTTTTTTTTTTTTTTTTTTTTTTTTTTTTGGTTGGTTGGTTTTTTTGGTCTTTCCTCCCTTGTCACTCCTGCTCCGAGGACCCTCTGTGTCCCCACCACTGGCCTTCTTGCCCTCTTCCCAGGCAAGAGACCAAGGCGGGGGTCAGAGGAGTGGGAGGGGAGGCATGGCTGGCCCTCACTCAGGTTTGGACCCTGCCTCGGGCCCCCCCGGACCTCCAGGGGTCTGTGCTGCTGCCTCGCTGCAAGTGGAGGAGGAGGAGGATGAGGATGAAGAGGATGAGGAGGAGAGGCCAGGAGACTTGCTGGAGATGGAGGCTGCCACGGCCGCAGCTGCTGCTGAGACCAAGCCCACGCCAGGCGGGGTGCTGAGCAGGGGCAGCCCAGCATGGTTCAAGAAGAGCGGTGAGGTCACCAGGCCGGGGCTCCCCGGGGTGGCGCCAGCTGCCCCCAGCACCAGGTTCCCGCTGCCATCAAGGCTGGTAAGGGGCAGGGTTCCACCAGAGGCCAGGGCTGGTGGGGAGAGAGAGAGGCTGGGCTGGGGGCACGCTGGGCCAGGGGAGACCTTTGCCTTCCAGCATCCTGCCCAGAGTGCCCCCCATCTCCTCATCGGTCCCACTGACCCCCATCAGCACCCCTCACACCTTCCCCAAAGGTGAGATGGGTATGAAGAGGCGAGCAATGCAGTGAGCAGGGGCGGGATGGCATGGCTGAAGCAGCAATGGCAGAGCTCGAGGCCCCAGAGGATAGGACTGGTGACAATGGGAGTGACATGAGGCAGCACGCACCTTGGATAGTGGCCAAAGGGTTGTTGCTCATGAGGGCTGGACTCAGCCCGGAGCTCAACCCCACCATTGTGCTTCTGCAAGAGGCAAAGCAGAGGCATTAGCAGGGGCAGGGACCTGACAGCATAACTGGGGTATAGCTCCCCACCCCAGAAGCAGCAGCAACCCTGCTTTTCCCCACAGCCTCCCACCTGCACCCACTTACCCTGTGCTGGGGTTCAGGCCCGACAAGCCGATAGCTGAGTGGCTGCCTTGAGGGCTGGGGTTTGTGCTGTTGGTGGTGGCCGGGGGTGGGGGAGTGACAGAGGGGATGGAATTGAGGGGGGGCGCAGCCCCGCCCCCACCCCCACCCCCTCCAGCTGTCCGGCTGGGGTGGAGCGTCCCCACAGCTGAGGATAAGGTAGTAACTGCCAGAGAGAGACAAAGAGATGAGGTCTTCAGCTTCTACTCGTTGCCCACTGAGGAACCTGGGGTTAATTCCTTCTTGTCCTCCCACATAGCTCACGAAGCATCTCCTCAGTCAAAATAGCCTTATACCTCCCTGCTCTCTCTTCCCAGAGCCATTTCCCTGTGCCTCTGCAATGGTGACCCCTATCATAACAATGGAAGTCAGAACAGCTGCTTCCTGCTGAGCCCTGGCACTCTGCACTCCCCGCCCTGAACCACTTTTATACTGACTAAAAATGGGGGTGCCCAGGAGACAAAGCCCTATGGCTCTCTAGGGGCTGGGGAGGGGCAAGGGGTGTCAGGCACATTGCCACAGCTAAGGGATGGGCAACCTGGCAGGGGCTGAGGGCCCAGATTCAGCCAGACTGCTGGGGTAGAAACTCCTGGTTCTGTGTTGTCCTATGGGTGCGCCTGGAGGAGTGCCTTAACCTCTCTGCCCTTCAGATCCCTTGTCTGGAAAATGGGGATAATAGAACCTATCTCATAAAATGAATTTGAGAGTTAAGTCAGTCAATGCAGTTTAGAAAGATCTCAGTACAGTGCCAGGCAAGCACTTACTACTTTATAAATCTCCACTTACTATTTTCTGGCCTGGGGAAGGGCAATATGTTGTTTGTTATGCTAAATATATACTTTAGATGAAATCTCACTCTGTTGCCTAGGCTAGAGTGCAGTGGTATGATCTCAGCTTACTGCAACATCCTTCTCCCAGGTTCAAGCAATTCTCCTGCCTCATCCTCCTGAGCAGCTGGGACTACAGACACAAGGCACCACACTGGCTAATTTTTGTATTTTTAGTAGAGACAGGGTTTCCCATGTTGGCCAGGCTAGTCTTGAACTCCTGACCTCAGGTGATCCACATGCCTCGGCCTCCCAAAGTGCTGGAATTATAGGCATGAGCCACTGCACCTGGCCAATTTTATATTACTCATATATATATATATATATAATATGTATAGTGTATAACCATATATATAAGCCTGCTGTGTCCCAGGAAGAGGAAGGAGAACTCTGGGTACAAGAGTATGTATGTATGCACATATGTGTGTGTATACGTTATACGTATATACACATACATACACTCTTGCATGTGTGTATTTATATCTTTTGTATGTATTACACATTCATAATAATTTTATAAAAACTGAGGCTCAGAAAGGTAAAATAAGCTCTTGAGTTCACATAGCTTATGAATGACAGAGGCCAGGCACAAAACCCAAGTGCCTCACCTTTTACCACGCCCATGCTTTTCTCATATGAAATTGTGAAGCAGATTAAAGCTGAGTTGCTCCTGCAGAGGAGGGGTGAGTCCTGCCCTCTTCCCACTGTCTCTCCCATTCCCCCACCCACACTCCCCTGGCCCAGTCTTGACACCCAGAGCCACTTGGGAACGTCAGGCTCCAGCCTGTGCCTCATCCTCCCAGTGCCCCCCACCACCTTCTGCCCCCCCTGACCTGTTGTGCTCAGACTGCTGGAAGCTTGGGACAATGGTAAGGTCCCCGCACCCCCTTGGGGTGTGACCTGGGGAGAGAGGAAAGGAGGTATGGTTAGACCACTGTCTGCAAGCAGCCCCTGCGATGCTTCCTGCAGGACCCCACTCCTCTGTGTCAGGATGGGGGCAGGGGGCTTTGGCACAATGCTGTGTTTGTATTATTCCACGTGCCTTCTTCAAACTTGCCCTAGCTGATCCTGAGCCACAAGCAGGAAGGGCTAATTCTCCATTGAAAGCACTCTCTACCTCTCTTCTGACACCGCCCTGCCTGGCTAGTCTCTGCAGGGCTGCGTCCTGTCTGAAGTGACTGCACCGGAAGAGTGGCTGCCCTACATGCTCTTGCTACCGTTGGTTCCACAAAACTAAAACTCTTTTCCCAGGACGAGCCAACACCACTCTTTTACCAGTGGGGTTGGCAAGTGATGCAGGAGAGAATGTTCAAAGTGACCCAGGCAAGGAAAGAGCAGGTCTAAAGTATGAGGCTAAATGGATGCATATATTTGCATCAGGATGTTGAAATGTCATATTACTTGATTTTCTGGGACCATTCACCAGCTTCTTTCTTGGCCACTGCACCTCCAGTCTCACCTTTGTATCAGCCCCAGAAACCTCACAAATGTAACCCTGTCCTTCCCCAGCTTAAAACCCCTCCTTACTTCCACACTACCCATGGTTCAAGTTCCAGCTCTTCACTGTAAAACTTGGGGTACAGGCCCCCACCCCTTCCCCAACCTCATTCATATGAGCTGCAGCACCAACCACACTAAATTTGCACTGGAGTTCCTCAGATTGGGCTGGACACACCCTGGCTTCTAGGCCTTAGTGCACACTGGTCCTGGAAGGCCCTTCGCCTTTTCTGGCTGGCTAATTCTCCCTTGTCCTTTAGAACTCAGTTCAGACAGTGCCTCCTTCATACCACTGGGGGCAGGGGCTCCTCTCTGAAGCATCACAGCCCTTTCCAGGAATGGAAATAAAGGGATGGGATAAAGGATGTCCCAGCTGTGTCTGATACCAAGTGGGCCTATGTGTAGCTGTGGACCTGAGAGGACACTCATGGGTGTAACAGTGTCCCTGAATGGCAAATAAGTGCCTCTCCTTGCCTCTGTGTGGTTGTGAGCCTGTGTGTTTCAACCTGGACCACATCCCTGAACAGACATCCCTCCCCGTGTGGCTATGGCACTGTGATAACTCTGTGTCTGGCTATGTAGGTGTGTATCTAGGGGTGCTTGTATCCCCCACATAAGACCATAGTTCCCTGGAAACTGTCTCCTTGTGTGACTGTGCCTGTCTACATGATGGCCTGACCCTGAGTAGCTCTCTTTGCCTCTGTTCTAGGTTCTGTGGACAACCAGGTAGGGTGGGCTTCACAGAGGTGCCTGTGGAGCTCTGTGGTCTCCCACCCCCTAGAGGGGCTCTTGGTACCATATGGGGGCTGTAGCTGGCCGGCTTCCCCGGGCTGGGCAGCATGGGGGCCGCACTGCAGGGGTTGATGCGTTTCTCCTTCTGGCGCCGGTTGCAGAACCAGACGCGGATCACTTCCTTCTCCATGTGCAGCTGCTCGGCGATCAGCAGGATCTCCTCTGAGGTAGGCTTCTGGTTCTGCAGGCAGAGGGCTCATTAGCCTGGGGCCCACCGCCCGCCACCCCTCAGGTGAGGGCCACCCAGGACGGGGGTCCTCACCGCTAGAAAACTCTTCTCTAAGGCGAAGCGGACGTTTGTCTCAATGCTGGTCCTCTTCTTGCGTCTACGGCCGGGCAGCCCGTCGAAACCCAGACTGGGGCTACTTAGTTGGTTGGGGCTGGGCAGGCTTGAGTCCACAGACATAGTCTCTGTGCCCCGGGGGATATGTGAGCATGAGAGGGCGCCTCCGGTGGCCACCGGCTGCTGCCCGCCCCCCACACAGGAGCCCCAGCCTAATCCCACCTGCGTCGTTGAGCCACTTCTCCAAGAGGGGCTTGAGTTTGCACATGTTCTTGAAGCTCAGGTTGAGGGCCTCAAAGCGGGAAATGGTCGTCTGGCTAAAGTCATTGCCGTAGAGCTTGCCCATGGCCAGGCCCACATCACCCTAAGCCAGTGGGGTGGGTAAGAGGCAGAGGTCAGGGCAGGGCCTTTCGGCACTGGGCCCACTGCGCCCACCGACTGGCCACGCTCCTTGCGGCATCCATCAAGTAGCCATGCCCCCACACCCACTGCCCAGCCTGCAAGGTGGCTCCAGACCTGTGTGAAGCCCAGCTTGATGCGACGTTGCTTGAAGGTGCGGGCGAACTGCTCCAGCTCCTCCAGATCACTGGGCTCCTCGGGGTGGGACGGTGGCTCCAAGCATTTGGGGGGCTGCGGATGCGAGAGGTGCGGGTCGGGCAGCGTAGGGCGGGTCACGGCCTGGTGGGGTTGGCAGGTGGGTGGGATGCAGGGCGGAGGACCAGGACGGGGCTCAGCGATGGGTGCACAGTCCCCCTCCCTCCCTCCTCACCCCTGCATTCTATCCTCTGCCTGCAGACTCCCCTCCACCTTCTTCCACACGCACTGTCAATCCCTTTAAAGGTCCAACTCTGCTGCCCTACATGGGTTTCCTCATTGCTTGGGATTCTGCCTTGTCCCTTCAGGCCTGGGAACTCCCAGAAGGAGCCGCCAGCTTTTTGTGCCAGGGCCCCTTCCCTGGAGCCAAAGGCAGTGATTCATGGTCATCTCAATCAGGGAATCAAGGACTGGCCCTGCCACCAAATCATTGCTTAGCCCAGGCCTCACTTTCCCCCAGTGCAGGATGGGAACAATCACCGCTGCTCTGTCTACCAATGAGGCTGTTGAGAGAATGAGGTTAAAAATGAGTGGGTCATGCAAATCCATGGACTGTACAACACCAAGAGTGAACCCTAATGTCAACTATGAACTTTGGGTAATAGTGATGTGCCATTGTAAGTTCATCATTTGTTACGCTTGTCCCACTCTGGTTAGGGATATAGATAATGCGGGAAGCTGTACCTATGTAGAGAGATATGTGGGATATCTCTGTATCTTCTACTCAGTTTTGTTGTGAATCTAAAACTGCTCTTAAGAAATTAAGTCCTACCGGGCGCGGTGGCTCACGCCTGTAATCCCAGCACTTTGGGAGGCTGAGGCGGGTGGATCACGAGGTCAAGAGATCGAGACCATCCTGGTCAACAAGGTGAAACCCCGTCTCTACTAAAAATACAAAAAATTAGCTGGGCATGGTGGTGCGTGCCTGTAATCCCAGCTACTCAGGAGGCTGAGACAGGAGAATTGCCTGAACCCAGGAGGCAGAGGTTGCGGTGAGCCGAGATCGTGCCATTGCACTCCAGCCTGGGTAACAAGAGCGAAACTCCATCTCAGGAAAAAAAAAAAAAAAGAAATTAAGTCCTAAGCAATGAGTAAACTGCAAATAAACTGAAAATTAAAAAAAAAAAATGGACTGAGAGGGCAATTAGGGAGATTTACAAAAAAGCAACAGTTCTATCTGGGATGCTTCATGGCCCTAAAAATAAGAGATCTGAAGCAGGTGGTGGTTGTAGGGATGTCTTGTCACCCAGGTCCTTGATCCATTATTCTCCAAAATGCTGGGGCCAGATGTTTAGGACTTTTTCTATTTTGTTTTTGCTTTTTGTTTTTTTTGTTTTAAGATGGAGTTTCACTCTTGTTGCCCAAGCTGGGGTACAATGGCGTGATCTCGGCTTACCGCAACCTCCGCCTCCTGGGTTCAAGTGATTCTTCTGCCTCAGCCTCCTGAATAGCTGGGATTACAGGCATTGCCACCATGCCCAGCTAATTTTGTATTTTTAGTAGAGACAGGCTTTCTCCATGTTGGTCAGGCTGGTCTCAAACTCCTGACCTCAGGTGATCTGCCCACCTCAGCCTCCCAAAGTGCTGGGATTACAGGTGTGAGCCACTGCGCCCGGCCTTTTCTTTTCTTTTTAAAACTGTATAAATTTGGGCTGGGCGCGGTGGCTCATGCCTGTAATCCCAGCACTTTGGGAGGCCGAGGCGGGTGGATCACGAGGTCAAGAGATCGAGACCATCCTGGTCAACATGGTGAAACCCCGTCTCTACCAAAAATACAAAAAATTAGCCGGGCATGGTGGCGTGTGCCTGTAATCCCAGCTACTCAGGAGGCTGAGGCAGGAGAATTGCCTGAACCCAGGAGGCGGAGGTTGCAGTGAGCCAATATCGCACCATTGCACCCCAGCCTGGGTAACAAGAGCGAAACTCTGTCTCAAAAAAAAAAAAACAAAAAACAAAAAACAAAACAAAAAAAAAAACTGTATAAATTTAAGGCCAGCCTTAAGCCAGGTACAGTGACTCATGCCTGTAATCCCAGTACTTTTGGAAGCCAAGGTGGGAGGATTGCTTGAGCACAGGAATTTGAGACCATCCTGGGCAACATAGTGAAACCCTCTCTCTACAAAAATTTTAAAAATTAGCTGAGCATGTGGGGCATGCCTGTAGTACTAGCTACTCAGGGGGGCTAGGGACCGCTTCGCTTGAGCCCAGGAGGCTGAGGCTGCAGTAAGCTGTGATTGTACCACTATACTCCAGCCTGAGTAACAGAGTGAGACCCTGTCTCAAACAAAAACAAAAAAAAAATTTAAAGGGGTACAAGTGCACTTTTGTTACACAAATGTATTGTGTAGTGATGAAGCCTGGGCTTTTAGTATATCCATCACCCAAACAGTGTACATTGTACCCATTAAGTAATTTATCATCATCAACCCACTCTCCCCTCTCTTAGGTTTTGTTGTTTTTGTTGTTTTACAGAACAGGTCTCACTATGTTGCCCAGGCTGGCCTCAAACTCTTGGGCTCAAGTGATCCTCTTGCCTCACGTTCACAAGTAGCTGAGACTATAGGCATGCACCACTGTGCTTGTTTCAGTTTTCAGAAAGCCTACATAGGTAGCCAGGAGTGGTGGCTCATGCCTGTAATCCCAGCACTTTAGAAGGCTGAGGCAGGTGGATCACCTGAAGTCAGGAGTTCGAGACCAGCCTGGCCAACATGGTGAAACCCTGTCTCTACTAAAAATACAAAACTTAGCTGGATGTGGTGGCACATGCCTGTAATCCCAATGACATGGGAGGCTAAGGCAGGAGAATTGAACCCATAAGGTGGACGCTGCAGTGAGCCGAGATAAAGCCACTGGACTACAACCTGGGCAACATAGCGAGACTCCATTTCAAAAGAAAGAAAGAAAGAAAGAAAGAAAACCTATATAGGATGTATATCATAGATAATGTAGCCTGCCTCCCACCCACACCAGAATCAAGGATGTTACTCCATAATCAGATATGGTAGTTAACAGTTTTGCAGCAGCAAAAATGCCACACCAAGGGGGACAAAGAAAAGTCATACATTGCCTTATGTCATGGCAGGACAGATTTTGCAGCCAAGTGAGTTCTCATACCAATGGTGCAAGAACAACTTGACTTTCAGAGCGTTTGGGATTTCAGAACTGCAGCTAAGACCTGTATTAGTCTCTAATCTTTTCAGTCAGTCCTTCTTAAATAGTTCATATATTTTTTTTAAAGGGCTATAAAAAATAGGTAGAAAAAAACTTTGAAATTTGTAAAAGGTAGTGAAAATTATTATTAAAGTCTAGAACTCAGGCAGTAAACTGAAAGGCCTTGGGGTCCAGGCACCAAGATGGCCTGGAAAGCTGACCCCCTCTAAGGGGCCTTTGCTCCTGCCAGTGGCCAGGGAAACTGCTCACTGCACCAAGCCACCACATAGACATGGGTACAGTCTTGCCAGATCTTCTGGTTTATCAAGAGGAGCTGGAAATCTGGTGCCTTCTGGGAATTTAGTTGACAATGGCCAAATAAAACAGACCTGTGGGCCTTGTTTTCAGTCTCCAGTCTGGGAAGTGGATGTGAAATATCACCTAATGAATCCCTTGTTCAGAGAACCCTCCATTGCAGTGCTAGAAGAGGCCCGAGGCATTTGTAACCTAAAGGCTCAGGACCCCCTGCAATTTTTCATGTTTTTGCACTTGAGCATTTTGGGGGAATAGGGATCAGATCTAAATCTTTCATCATATTCTCAAAGGAGCCCATATACCTGAAAGGGTTAAGAACCACTCATCGCCGGGCGTGGTGGCTCAAGCCTGTAATCCCAGCACTTTGGGAGGCCGAGGCGGGTGGATCACAAGGTCAAGAGATCGAGACCATCCCGGTCAACATGATGAAACCCCGTCTCTACTAAAGATACAAAACATTAGCTGGGCATGGTGGCGCGTGCCTGTAATCCCAGCTACTCAGGAGGTTGAGGCAGGAGAATTGCCTGAACCCAGGAGGCAGAGGTTGCGGTGAGCCGAGATCACGCCATTGCACTCCAGCCTGGGTAAGAGGAGTGAAACTTCGTCTCAAAAAAAAAAAAAAAAAAAAAAAAAGAACCACTCATCTGGGCCAGCTCTTCTCATTCTATAGAAGAGGCTGACCCAGACAGGGTGAGAGGCTTGCCTGAGGTCTCATAGCAAATCACTGGCAGAGTGTGGCTAGGTCAATTGGAGAGGTGACTCTCACTCCCCACCCTCATTTACCCAGCTTTCATCAGGCTTGCTGCTGGCCTGGCCTGGTCCAGTCAGTGGACAGTCTCACCTGTGTGGGAAGCCCGGCCCGGGGCTGGGAGGTCAGAAGAGCTCCCTGGGTTTGCTGAGGTAGCTGGAATAGATTTGGTGTCGGTAGCAGGCCTGGAGAACAAGGGGAAATGTACAGGGTGAGGGGAGGGGAAAGTGAGAAAGTTCTGTGGAGGTGTCAGGGAGGCCATCTGGGGTGGGGGCCTTACCTGGCTGGCTCTGCTGGGCCTGCGGCAGCAGGAACTGAGCAGGTGGCTGGAGGTGGTGGCCTGGCACAAGCACCAGCTGCTGGAGCTGGAGGAGCTGCTGAATGTCCTGGCAGGGAGGGGGGTGGACAGAAAGACAGCCTGAGTCCTAGCCAGGTTCCATCCTCTCTGCATCACCTGAACCCTGAGAGACTAAAATCAGGAAGCTACTCCACATGGCCATCTGGCACTGGGCAGTGAGATATGCCACTCAGTCTCTAAACAGCATCCCTGAGCTAAAGGGCACCCAGAGGCTTCTCTCTGCTGTGGGGTACCAGAGGGTCCCAACTAGGCAGTCCTGGGAGGGCTCACTCTTTATTTACCTTTTCTTTCTTGATGAAGTATTTGCCTTGTCTTAACATTTCCACAGAACAAACAGAATCACTTAAAAATATAAGCCAGGCCGGGTGTGGTGATGCATGACTGTAATCCCTGTACTTTGGGAGGCCAAGGCGGGCAGATCACCTGAGGCCAGTAGTTTAAGACCAGCCTCGCCAACATGGTGAAACCTCGTCTCTACTAAAAATACAAAATTAGATGGGTGTAGTGGTGCATGGCTGTAGTCCCAGCTACTCTGGAGGCTGAGGTAGGAGAATTGTTTCAAATCGGGAGGCAGAGGTTGCAGTGAGCCGAGATCACACCCCTGCACTCCAACCTGAGTCACAGAGTGAGACTCTGTCTCAAAAAAATAAATACACATAATCAGTGAGAGAGCTGGTTCAGAGAGAGAACAACCTGTGCGATTCTAATGGTTGAAGTTTGGGGAGAAAAGCCTGAAAAGGGACACCAGGGAGCTTCTGGGGGTTGGCCACATTGTTTCTAGATCTGGGTGCCAGTTCCATGGGAGTGTTCATAGCTGTATACCTATGATTTGTGCACTTTTATATATTTATATTTTAATAAAAATATGTTTTAAGAGTTGGGTGGCGGAGGTGCAAAAAATATGTTTTAAGACAGGGCCAGACACAGTGGTGTGTGCCTATAATCCCAGCACCATGGGTGGTTGAGGCAGGAGGACTGCTTGAGGCCAAGAGTTCAATACCAACCTGGGCAACAAAGTGGGACCCCCCCCCACCTCAAAAAAAAAATCCTTGTTTGCATAGCAGTGAGTAAAAAATAAAGTAAAATAAAGGGAAAAAAGCAAAATGAGGTAGGGAAAGATGGAGAGGAAAAAAATCCAATCCTCCCCCCACCAAAAATGAAGAGTTTAGATGAAATCCTATTTGCCAGTAGGACTGGCAAAATGTTGGTACCAATTGAGCTTGGTGAAGAGTATGTGGGGTTCTTGACATCATGCTCTCTACTTTTACGTTTAAACATTTCCAAAAGAAAAAGCAAAACTGCCTTACAGACACAGTCCAATGGCTTCTCATAGCTCTCAACAACACAAACAAAACCCCTCACCTTCCTACAGGTCCATTTATACTGAGGCCTGTGCTCATCTTCCTGCTCATCTCCCACCGCCCTCTCCCACCATGGCTATGCTCCAGCCCTTCAGCCCTTTTTCCGTTTTTTTTTTTTTCCAAATGCACCAAGCTTGTTCCTGCCTCAGGTCCTTTACACGTGCTGTTCCCTCTATTGGGCGTTCTACTTCTGACACTTATGCCTGGGTCCTAACACAAAGTCACCCTCTCAGAGGTGCCCTCTTTGACCATCCAGTCTATACCAGCCAGCCTCTTGGCTTCCCCTTATCAGCCCATTTCATCTCCCTCACAAGGCTTATCACCATCTCTAGGCATTGCTCTTCCTGTTTACCCATTCATGGCCTGCCCCTCTCACTGGAACATCAGGACCATGACAGTGTGATCTTAACTGTTTCAGTCACTGCTATATCGTCAGCACCTACAACAGCACCTGGCACCCAGTAGGTGTTCCATATAGCTGCATTAATAAACCAAGACTGATGCTTCATCATTTACTTGGCAAATTTTATGTAGAGTTGAAACCTGTAACATGTTACTTACAATTTTTTCCTTCTGGGAAATTGTGGGTGTTGGCACATGCCCCTCAATTCTTGCCAATGCTATTATTATTTCAAAGACCAATTTGATGTGCCAGGAAGTGAACAAACTGGGAAAATATATAAGCAATTCAACAGAAGGAGTTCATTTCTTTAATATACTGTACAGTGATTTTGAAAGTAACTATATAATTACTTTATATAGTTATAAAAAGAAGAAGAAAAATAACGATTACAAATCCATAGGAAAAAAACTGACAACCCAGTAGTAACGTGGCTGACAGGTCTGGAGAGTGTTCACTGAAATAAATGTGAACAACTCTGGACAGAAATACACTGAGACTCACTTGCAATAAGATAAACACGACTGCAGTTGCACTGAGATATCATTTTTACCTCTCAGATCACCAAAGATAAAAATAGTGTGTAATATTACATTGGAGAGTGTGGGAAAACACACATTCTTGTATATGCTGGTGAGAAGGTGATTTGGCAATGTCTATCAAAATTACAATTGCACACAGCCTTCAACTCTACCATTCCACTGCTAGAAATTTATCTATTCTCACACTTGTGCAAAATGATCTCTCTAGAAGGCTTCTCCTAGCAGCAAGTGGCATTCTAGCAAAAGAGTAGAAGGTAGCTGAGCGTGCAGCAAGAGACGACAGGTTGAATGAATGAGAATAGAGCTCTACAGTGGATTACTATGCAGTCATCAACAAGAATGATGAGTCACTTTGTATCCTGATATGGAACAATCTGCAGGATGCCCTGTTGAGTGGAAAGTTCAAGAGGCAGAACAGAGGGTATGATGATGCTACTGTTTTTTGTGTAAAAAAAAAAAAAAAAAGTATATCTCGATATTTGCTTGGGTATGCATAGTTGATGTCTGGAAAACTAAACCAGAAGGCCATATTACAAATCCATCCATACCTCTGGGATTTGAAACACGTATCTGGTCTGAGTAAATAAAATATCCCAGTGTCCCACCCCCACCCACCCAAAGTCACTGCTGATCAACATCCCTGCTTTTCCAACCATTTGACAACTCAAAGCCATTCCCTGAACCCCTGGGGGTGCCTCTGCTTTTTCTGTGTATGGCAGTGGACTGGGTACTCCTGTGCTCCTGACCTTTCTCTTGCTGCTAATCATCTCAGAATCCAACTTAAGGGGTTCTGAAGTCCTAGCACTCTATCCTGTGAAACCATGTTCACCCTGCCTTTCCTTTCCCAGCTACCCCGGCCCAATAACACCTCCGTGGTCACCTCCCTCCAGATGTGGATCAACTGTGAAGCGGGCAACACATATGCTTCAGGGCCCCCCATTTAGTGAACGCTTTTCAAGGTCCCATACCTAATTTTGGTTTCAAACGTTGTCGTTTACTTTCAAAGGGACTCCAAATTGCATAATCTTTCAGCCCCACAAAACGGGACCCACCTGCCCTGTGCTGCACATCTCCCAAGGCAATGCATTTGCTTATGAGTATTTTTCCTCTGCTAGACTGAAACTCTAGCAGCCCAGAGGCACGTCTTACTCTTCTTGTATCCCTAACCCATGTTGGAACCTGGTAAGCCCCCATTAAATGCCCACTGAATTGAAGCTAATGAATAAGACCAGAAATCAAGTCTTATTATCAGAATTTTTCTGATTTCCTATAACCTGTAACTTGTTGATTAAAGTATCTGTTAACTCCTGTTCCTCCCTAGCATGACTCTCAGTGAAAATTCCCCTTTCCTCCAGAAGCCTAGAGAGGTATCTGTAGGTTTCATTCTGAATCAGCAGAGAGAGGAAATAATGGGGAAAGAGCACCCCAATTTGCAGAAGGTCTCATGGTGAGAAAGTCTGATGAGAAATATTTAACCACATCCCTGTCCAGTTTCTCAGACCAGAGACTTAGGGGTCAGCCTTGATCCCACCTTCCCTTCCTCCCCTCATCCACCCAATTCATCTGCAAGTCCTCCCAGTTCCCTCTACAACTCTTCCTGTCCACAGTCACTGTCCTGGTCCAAACCACCATCTTTCTACCCCAGACAATTCATTCGCCCCAAGCAGACAGAGAGGGGTCTAAAACAATAGAGTTCTAAATTTTTTTGTGTGCCCTGAATTCTTCAGCATCTGAAAGCAAAACCAAAACCAAAACAAAACAAGGAAAAACTCTGTCACCCTCTTCTCAGAGTTAAAAACACAAAACATAAGATACAAGACTTATCCTTCCTTCCTTCCTTCCTTCCTTCCTTCCCTTCCTTTCCTCCCTTCCTTCCTTCCCTCCCTCCATCCCTCCCTCCTTCCTTCCCTCCCTCCCTCCTTCCTTCCCTCCCTCCCTCTTCTCTCTCTCTCTCCTTCTTTTATTTGAGATGAGATGGAGTATCGCTGTGTCACCCAGGCTGGAGTACAGTGTAGAGTGACTCAATCTCAGCTTTAGGTTCAAGCGATTCTCCTACCTCAGCCTTCCAAGTAGCTAGGATTACAGGTGTGCCCACCATGCCCAGCTAATTTTTATATTTTTAGTAGAGATGGGGTTTTACCATATTGGCTAGGCTGGTCCTAACTCCCAACCTCAGGTGATCCACCCACTTCATCCTCTCCAAGTGCTGGAGTTAAAGGTGTGAGCCACCGCACCCAGCCAGATATATAGAATTCAAATGAAATCAATCACATAGAATTACAGACATCATCACTAGGGACTCCAAAGGGAGAGAGAAGGGAAAGGGTTGAAAAACTTCCTAATGGGTACTATCAGGGTGATGGGAACAATTATGCCCCAAACCTCAGTATCATGCAATATAAGCTTTGTAACATACCTGCACATATATCTCTGAATCTAAAATAAAAAAACTGGCTGGGCACAGTGGCTCACGCCTGTAATCTCAGCAGTTTGGGAGGCTGAGATGGGAGAATCTTTTGAGCCGATGAGTTTGAGACAGCCTGGGTAAGATGGAAAGACCCTGTCTCTACAAGAAGAAGAAGAAAAGTTAGCTAGGCATGGTGGTGCATTCCTGTGGTCCCAGCTACTCAGGATGCTGAGGTAGGAGGATCCCTTGAACCCAGGAATTTGAGGTGGCAGTGAGCTATGATCACACCATGGCACTGCAGCCTAGGCAACAAAGGGA